CACACACACATTCATTTCAGAAAAAAAGCATGGTTGTGAAGGAAATATGTGGCTGTATGAAAAGAGATTCTATAGCTTCTTCTTGGTTAAAACATGCGCTGTGTTAGGAGCTTTGCCTCAGAAACTGCTGGAAATAAGTGGCAGGAGCACCTCTTTCTACACCTCAATGTCCAGTAAAACCTAACATTTTCCATTCCTGCTCCTAAGTCTCTCTTAGTTTTGTGTTTAAGTCATATATAAAACTAGGTTTTGTAATTATATAGCACCTCATTTAATAAGTTTAATACATCCACACTCCTAAGTCTCTCTAAGTTAGTTTTGTGTTTAGTCATATATAACACCAGTTTTTATAATTATATAGCACCTCATTTAATAAGTTTAATACATCCAAAGATAATCTGTATACTTACCAATGAATTCAGTGTAAATATCTTAAAATAAAACTGGGGTGATTTACTGAATTTAAATGAAGGAAAATGTATTCTCCTTAATACAGCTTTGAGTAAGCAGTATGGTTCAACTCATCTTTAATATGCCTTGAAATATGTGATAACAGATCAAAAAATCTTCAAAATAAACAAAGTGTGATTTTAAAGGATACATACTGAAACAACTGTTAATATATAGTACACTATTAAAGTGTAGGAAGTAAAAGTATAAGTTAGTATGGTTTAATTCTGGAAAAGTATAAATTATCTTGCTTTAAGAAACCAACCCTTGGGAGGCTGGAGAGATTGTTCAGCGGTTAAGAGCACTGGCTGCTCTTGCAGAGTACCTGGGTTTGATTCCCAGCACCCACATGGTGGCTAACAACTGTCCAAAATCCAGTTCCAGGGCTCCTACTGCTTCTGACCTCCACGGGCCTTACACAGCATGGGTGCACTTATACAAATGCAGGCAATACACTCATATACATAAAATCAAATCATAATCATAATCATAATCTGGGCAAAGTGGTGCACACCTTTAATCCCAGCACTTGGGAGGCAGAGGCAGACTGATCTCTGTGAATTCAAGTCCAGTCTGGTCTACATAGCGAGTTCCAGTCCAGCTGGGGCTACAGGGAAGACCCTGTCTCAAAAAGACATAAATAAATAAATAAATAAATAAATAAATAAATAAATAAATAAGCCATTAATAACCAATTATACTATGATTATACAAATAAATATGACAAGAAATTTTGTGTAGGACATGTGATGCAAACTTCTGATCCCAGCACTCAGGAGTCAGACAGAAGGATATAATAAAGCACAAAAAAAAAAAAAAAAAAAAAAAAAAAAAGATTGCTTTAATTCCTTAGCAGTGTACAGAATCTTTAAATTAAATAAATAAATAAATAAATAAATAAATAAAACTGGAAACATGCCAAATAATTTAGCTACTGAAATAATATACAATCTCAGTTTTAAAGTAGTAACCAGACAATTGCTAATAAGCTGGCAATGGTGGCGCACACCTTTAATCCCAGCACTCGGGAGGCAGAGGCAGGCCAGCCTGGTCTACATAGTGAGTTCCAGGCCAGCTAGGGCTACTTGAGAGACCCTGTCTCAAAAAGACAAAAACGAAAAACAAAATAGAGATTTCTTAAGCCTTTCTTTCCATCAGTGGGTCCAGTTTTAGTTGTATTTATGATTATTTCCAAGCCAGAGGTCTTTAAAGTCAATTATGGAGCTCAATCATCAATATAAAGACAATGTTAAAGCATTTTATGACAATTATCACATCTATAACTGAAAAACTATCCACATGTAAAGGCAATAGACATTCTTACAGTGATCAGACTAGCTCAGTTTGATCTAAAATATGTACAATGATAACTCCCTTTTCTTAAATTTGAAATGCAATAGAAACCCTTTAAACAATCCTGGGGTATTTCATGGGTGGTTTTGATAGCTGGTAGTTAGTGGATCACAAAAATCAAGCCCTTTAGACTAAGTTTATATAACAGGGCTTGGAGGATACCTCAGAGGTAGTCTGGTTGACATTCTTTTTTTTTAATTATTTATTAATAACCACATAATTTGAGAAGCGTTTCAATACAACACTATTGACACAGTCAATAACAATTTCCAGAGCTAAGATGCATCACTTTCAAAATTAGCTGTAAATTTTTAGGTTTACAATTGAATTAATACAGTTATAAAATATTGTTCTCAGTATAAACTCTGTAAGACATAAAACTGAATGAGGTTTTAACCTTTAAAAAAGATCTCCATTTCATTATTAAAATATACTGTTTCATCCAGAAAAACTCATTTTTAATTCAACTAACACTTAGATGTTTGCATATGCGTCTCTAATCTCTATATATTTGATTATTACTAGTCACAGTTGGTTACTTTCTGAGATCTTTGGCACCTAAGCATGGATATAAAGTCATCAGGTAGATTTCAATGGTAATTCTTTTACCTCTACTAATTAACATGAAGCAAATTTTTATCCTTCTTCCTCAGATATAACTCATTCTTTTATTGATTGACTTTTTTGTGTGTATTTCATCCAGAACATCCCAATCTTATTCACCTTTATACCCTTATCCCAAATGGCACCCTCCCATAGCCTTCCCCCCACAACTGGAGCCCATATACTCTGTCATCCCTATTACTGTCTACTGTGTTATCAGTGCCCCCAGCCATTACCCAGTGCTTGTCCATCTACTGAGTCTAGTCAGCCTATCTATAGTTCCTTGTTTCAGGAAGATCAGCTCTTCCTCCCCTAACAGCAAGCAGTTGCCAATATTCCTTTAGATAAGATTGTGGTCTGCTGTTCATTTTCCCAGTTCTATGCTGGGTTACTATCTGGGAGTCTCTTGGGCTACCCTGGCCAACAACTCAAAGGAAGATATCTCCTGTCTGGCATTGTTTCTTGTTATGTAGCCTTTAGCTATACACATGGACTTTTAAAGAATTATGTTGATCCCTTTAAGCTTTGGTTATACTTTCCTTTTGGGTGTTTAAGACCATGCAGTTGGCCCAGATAAACCAATTTATTTTCACTCTTAAGGTCGTTTGAGAATGTGTTCCTCAGGGGTCACATGGGCTTGGGAGGAGCCCCTGGCTCCTTTCCTCTACAAGTTCCATCTATGTGATAAGTCAAAGGTCCTGCTTGACCGTGTATGGCTTAACTTGGAAGCATGGAGGAAATGTTTCCTCTGAGTTTACGCTCCTCTTTGTAGACTGGACACTGGTTCAAGTCCATCTGGTGGGGTCTCCATGGTCTCCTTGATCAAGAGGTCAGGTGACTCACCACAGTTACAGGACATTTTGAGAGATGCTCCATAGTCCCCTGGAACTTAGTTGATCTTGGAGGGCAAGGAACAAAAACTGTCCTTTAAGTCCCTCTGAAAAATTAGTATAAGCCTCAAAGTATGGCTGTTAAACATCCAAGAAGGTTAGTTCCACCAGTCTGTTACTTTTAATTACCATGTGCTGTGTAGATAAAGCTTGGGCTCTCAGATAAACCTTGACTCAACATTATGTTCCTTGAGCTAGTCATATGTATAATTTTTCAGTAGGTTGTCGGACTAATATGGTTCCCTCTGTTTTTTTTTTTAAACTAGCTAGGCATTATTTACCTCTCGCATTGTCTAACCCTTCCACCATGGTTTCCCCATTTAAAGTGCCTGCATTTTTCCCATTTCTCCCTTAATAATACCCTTCTATGGCCCCACCTCTCTTGAGCTCCTTCTTTCCCTTTATACCCAAGGTTCCTTTTATAACCCTCCCTTTCCCCTCCCTTTAAAATAGCCCCATTTTTATCCATATCTCCCTTATTAACACGTTTCCTATTGTTCTTCTCTTTCAGATTCTTTCTTTTCCTTTACCTCCCTGGTTCCTTTTCATTATCCTGGTTCCTATACTTATGTCTGGATACATACTTACAAGGATTTGGTGCTAGGATCCACATATGAGGGAGAACATATGTTGTTTGATTTTCCGAGTCTGTGTTACTTCACCTAGTATAATAGTTTCTAATTCCATTCATTTACCTGCAAATTTCATGATTTCATCTTTTTTTACTGCTGAGTAAAACTCCATCATATAAATGAACCACATTTTCATTATCCACTCATCAGTTGAGGGACACTTGGGTTGCTTCCATCTCTTAGCCAGGAAATCTACTGGCCCCATTGGTTGACAATCTTTTATAAAAAATATTTTATTATTTTTATTTTATATAAGTGTATTGCCTGCATGTATGTAAGTGCACCTGTGTCATACAGTGCCTACAGAGGTCAAAAGAGGGTATCAGATCCCCTGTAACTGGAGTTACAGATGGTTGTTAGCTGCCATGTGGGTGCTGGAAACCAAATCCAGGTTCTCTGCAAGAGCAGTCAGTGCTCTTTACCCTGAGCCATCTCTCCAGTCCTGGTTAACTTTCTTAACACTGGGGTAGATTCCCAGCACCTCAAAAAAAAAAAAAAGTGACATATTATACTTAGAGGTCATTCTTAA